CTATCAATTAATTAAATCAGGAGGGTGTGAGAATAAGATAGCTACCAACTTCAACATTTTGACTCATTGCCCCCTTAGAAAATTTACCAATGATTGTAAACCCATCCACATATAGCAGTAACTTTTGTATAGGGGCGAAAAAATGATACAAATTATCCTTCTCTTCTGCCAATCAAAGGTACATATATATGCGTAATTGAATGGAGTTCCACTCAATTAAATAAGCAACACCAAATTATAAGAAATATTTTTTCTATTTCTTATACAAAGTCTAAAATAATATTCATATTGGCCCTTTGCCATTGCAAGTACATATCTGTCGTTCGTTGATGTTTTGAAATATCCTCAAGGGCGCTCGATCCTCATTGTTTAGCCTTGGCTTCCTTCTCATATACTCCTCCTCCTATGTACCCAAAAAAAAACTACTCACTTCATTTTCAAATTAATTTATATATTTAAAAAAAGTCAAATATAATAATTATGTTTGAAATAAAAAAGAATTAAATTATCCTTGTAATTAATGAAACACATTTATCTAATGAGAACAAAACATTAACTTTATGAAACAAGTGAGCACCCAGCCAGGTATTTATGATCGGAAGCTGCATTAATGTGAACAAACTACGTTGACTTCCCACTCGAGTTGGGACATTCCTCTAGCTTCCAAAATAATGTCGGCATCGGCATGGCTAGTAACATCTCCCTTCTTTAAAAGCTTCACAGCATCCCCAGCTACCTTTAGCCTAAGAAGACTTGCCTAAAGCTACCACCTTACTCTTGTATTCATTCTTACAACTCACTAATAACACAGCCTCATAATTTGCCATTTTTATCTTACCTGTACACCTTTCTGCCAACAAAAAAGCCTAACTTTTGTTGTTACATCCCTCTCATGACAAAGCAGAGGTTCGAAGAAAAGAAAAATACATGGCATGCAACGGCCGACCAAAACATACGAATTTGCAAGAGTTGTGTTAAAATTCTTCGTGATTACAAAATCACGTTTGACGACTAGTATTTCTTAACATTGGTATGACACCGGAGGCTAAGTTGGCTGTTGAATCAAAGCAACCGGGTGGCTTTTTAATTGAAAGATCTAGCGGATTAGCACAGATGGGTTTGCAAGTTAACTAGTCTCGGATTAAATTCTTGAAATGCACGACATCAACAAAAGCCGATCCAAGAGCCTTCTTCTTCAGTGCAGCCTTCACCATCGCCTTTCTTCTTTTCCGTAACAGCACTGGCACAAACCATAACACGTGCACTTCCATACAGGATATGCCACCATAGTACCGATAGGGTGATGCTTTGGCTTCCTCATACTGGCGTCCCGTGCTTGAATGGGCTTGTAGTTTTATTCTATTTGATGCTTAACTCGACATATTTTGTTTCACTTGGTCCTTTCATTTTCTTTTTGTGTCTCGAATAAAGTTGGGACAACCAGCTGCTTTGTTGTTACTATTCTTATCGATCCTCAACAAGTATAATCTTCATTCATTCTCTTGTGCCAGCCTACAGTGATCATCGCATGATGGTTCCCTTGAATTTCTAAGCAACAACAAAATGCCTCCCTGCATATTAAATCATGTTGATTTTATTTTTTAAATTTAAGTAATATTAAAATTTTTAGTCCTTTAAATTTATCTTATTTATTGATTTGGTTCATTAAGTTTAATTTTTATCAATTTATTCTCTTATATTTCTTAAATTATTATGTTAATCATTTAAGTTTTAAAACATAAATTGACTCTCAAATTAGTATAATACATAAAGCATATTAATGACTTAATATGTATATATATAGTTAAATCAGTAAAAATTAGCTATCAAATTAATTTAATTATATTTTTATCAATTTAATCTATTAGGCCTCATTTTGTTCTTTTATTTTTTTTAATTTTCATGTTTATTCTTTTTCTAACTAAAAAAGTATACTTCTTTTCATAAATTAATTAATATATATATATATATATGACTGTTATCAATATTTTATTATTTATGTCAATATATTTTAGTAGTACAGTGTTACTTCCTCTTTAAATAATTAACATTAAATCAATAATTAAAATAAATTTAATAAATTAAATCGATACAAATACAAACACGTGAGATTACATGCATATTGATTGCAGAGAGGCCTTAGCTTTGATCAAGTCTGCAGAATGAGTTTCATGCAGTGAGGGAGCTCTGGGGTGGATCTCGTGTTGATTGGTCGCGAGCTGAACAGAGAAGCGGATTACTTTGCGAAGAGAGCATTGTCTCTCTCCATGGGTCTTCATTTAGTAGCGGTTGAAGCCTTGCCTTCGATCATAGAGGACGTTTAGCTATTTCATTTTTTTTTCTTTTTAAGTTTTTGTTTTGTTTTTCGTTTTGTTCTGTGTGGCATCTAAAATAAATTTAAAAAATAAAATAATTAAATTGATAAAAATTAAATTTAAGATAACTTGTGTACCCAAATGTGGCAGCATAACATTAATTTAACAGAAATATTATGTAAATACTTGGCTTTTAAATACAATTTTCATTTTGTTGTTTCACTTGCACACATTTTCATATTGTTTACTTTATGAAATTTTTTTATTATGTTAAAAAAATGTAAAAACTCTAACCACTATTTGCAGGCACACTTCATTGCAATATTTTAAAAATTAAACCAAATAATGAATCAGAAATATCAGTGGATTATAGGTTTCATGATTCAACCGGTTAAATCGGTAGTTGAATTGATAATATAATAATTAAATAAAAAATAATATTTAAATACATATATATTGAAAAACAATTTAAAACGGTTCGACCACTCTGGGTTCCGAATTTTTGCTTCTTGTCTTCAAAAACCACCATGGGTCAAAGCGGGCCAACCTGGGTTAATTGCCAGAACAGGCCAAATGGTTGAATCAAACCATTTTTTTCTTTGAGTGACGGCTCAACCGGTCTGACCGTCCAGGTCAGTTTGAATTTTAAAACATTACTTCATTGAATTGTAGATTATGATCAATTGATTAAGATTTCAAACAAAGGTGTTTTCTTTTAAATTCTATGATTAAAGAGACAGATAGCAGAGGAAAAATAAAGAGAATTTGAGACATTCTTTAAAAAAAAAATTATAGGCATGTACATGCACTGTAAACCCATACAGATTATAGTTTTTTTTTTTTGAAATATCATTTATGTTTTTTAAATTAAAATCCTCCTAGGGTTGTACAAAAGAATAATAAGTTATGATTTTGGCTTAATTCAAAATTTAATTTTTTTTTAAAGACTGAATTAGGCAATTTATAGTCTAGTTCTATCAAGACATAACTTAAAGTTGAACAAAATTAAATTTGATCCATAAGATTGTGAGATTAATCCCGATCGTTCAGTACATCTCTTTGTTTTTTTCCTCTTTAAGAGACAACAATTCAATTTAATTTGATAAACTCAATTAAAATAATAAAAATATAATAAACATATAAAATTTATTACAAAAAAATAAAAAGTTGATCATAATAAATCTATTATAATCTCCAACAAAACAAAAGTATTTCAATTATAATCTATAACAACGATCAACAAACTGTAACATGTCTAAATTACATTAGATATCAAAAGAACATGAACAGATCAGAGCAAAGAAAAAGGTGAAGAACATAAGCAGCCCTCGAATCAAAGGACCCACAACAAGGCAACACGAGCACCACAGGAAAAGGTGAAGATCACGAGCCATCGAATCATATATCGGAAGAACGCGAGCATCACTCATAGGAGCAGCAAGGTAGATGGTGGCTGGCACTAGAGAGGTTAGGGCTGGAGGACTGTTGGTTCTTCCTTCCGTGTGGCGTAAAGACAAGGTGAAGAGTGGATTAAGAGAGGAGAGGTAGGAAATTAGGTAATGAAGCGAGATATTGCATTCAACATTCAGCTTTTCGACTTCACATTCGACTACATTAAACAATAAAAATAATTATAATTATACTTAAATAATTTTATAGGATTGGACCAGACCCAAGTAGTTTAAAGGCTCAATTCCTTGTCCGTTCTAAACTGAAAATGAAGTCTGCTCTTGTTGATCTTTTAATTAATCCTTTGGGTTAATTCTTTTATAAGACCAGACATGACTGGATTTTTTTCAAGTTGGATAGAATCGTCGGACTTTTACATAGACCTAAATTCACCCATGGTTCTTCAATCATTGGGCTTAGGCTCTTCCTTAATTTCATGTCAGACCAGGTGTTGGTTTGCTAATTTTTCTGATTAAACTACATAACAGATCCTATTAATCTAGTTTTAATTTCCATTGCATGTGGTAATCCAAGCATTTATAAGTTGAAATCATGACAAAGTGACAGGAATCAAACTCATTGTTTTTTGGTTAGTGTCGAATCATTTAAATTATGTATAACCTATATCTAAATGAATGACTGTCTGTCGTTTAACACTTAAACTATACAAGAGGTGACCGGAAGCAAAAGCCGCTCCAAAAGAGTCTGATTTGATTTGAAGTTGAACATTCTTGCCTGTGATTCGAGTCCTACGATTTCAAAACCTGCTCAAGGAAATTTCTTAGCTGGGGATTTTTTTCTTCTCAAATAATGCTGTCAAATAGTTAATAATGCAAACACGCTCGTCGGCAAAGGCAAAAATAGAATGCAAGTTAAGCCACCCTAACATGTGCATGACACCCAAAAAGAAAGCATAACGCACTAAAATGGGGCGCGGCAAGCGAGAGTAATTAATTACATTTCTTAAGGAGATTATATTGCCTGTTGATCAGCGTTATAATGAGCAAAGAAATATCCATTCTTCTGGGTATAATCCCTTGCTTTTTCGTCTTTTAAAAACACAAACTCACGCAAGGAATACGTTGAATCTGGTGGAACCCTACGATCTGATTTCTAGATGGCTGACTAAAACTGGTTCACATGGTCACTTATAAACAATAACATGATGTCTCCAACAAACAAGGCTGAAAGATGCCCACTACTTTTTCAAAATAACCAAGGAAGATGATGCATAACTTTGCCTGTCAACGTGTCAATCTCTCATGTACAGATTACAATGAAAACATTCATGCCGGTGTATAATTTAAACAAGGCGGCCTTCATTTTCATTTTCTGCAGCATTTCCGCAGCTGACAACCAATCTTGAAAAGCAACAAAAGGATTGTATCAACATTGTTATCCCGACGGAGATTTGGATACATGAACCACTGCATTATATACGCGACTTCTATATATGTTTATTTCTCCTGCATTACAAAATTAATAAATATAATAGAATGACTGTACTGTGTTCGTGTCCATCAACTTCGGCATGTGGACGTGCCCTGCTGTATGGAATCCCTTCATACCTAAAACAACAGGCTTGACTACTTTCGCTCAAACTCGCTTAAAATACAATTTACTGGGACACTCATTTCTCAATGTTACACGAATCAAGAGCCCCGCTCTATAATAAGGAACGCAAATCTCCATACCCTCCCATCTAACAGAATATCTTATCCTTTATTCCAAACCCAGCAATGGCTTTCAAGCTCTTGCCCTTTCTTGCACTCTCATCTTTTTATTACCTATTTCTTTCCTCGTTTCTGTTGTTATCTACAGCAGTACCCCATCAGCATGGAAGAGCTCAAGTTCCTCCAGAAACCGTCTGCGACACCACACAACACCCTTCTTATTGCAAACATGCTCTCGCTCATCACCACGGCAACAACGTCTATGACTATGGACGTATCTCTTTTCGAAAATCCTTATCTCACTCTCACAAGTTTCTCAACCTAGTGGACTCCTATCTTCAATATCCCTCCTCTCTGTCTCAGTCCACTATCCGAGCTCTTCAAGATTGTCAATTCCTCTCTCAACTAAACTATGAATACTTATCAACCTCCTATTCCACTGTCAATCGATCTAGCTATGTTCTTCCCTACTCCAAAGCCGAAGATATTCAAACCATGCTCAGTGCCATTCTCACGAACCAACAGACTTGTTTGGACGGCCTTCAGACAACGGCTTCAGATCCGAGACTGAAGGACCGTCTTTCCGGTTCACTCCTAAACGACACTAACCTTCACAGCGTCTCACTTGCTCTGTTCGTGAGGGGCTGGGTTCCTGAAAGGAAAAACAAACCGTCATTTTCGCGCAATTTAGGTTTCCAGAATGGACGTTTGCCGTTGGAGATGTCAAAGCCAGCACGTGACATTTATGAGTATGCCAGAAGAAACGGGAGAAAACTGCTCCAAACTGTGACCGACGTTGCAAGCGTCGTGATAAGGGACATCGTGATCGTTAGTCAGGACGGAAGCGGAAACTATTCCACCATTAACGACGCCATAGCAGCTGCCCCCAATAACACCGCATCTGCGGAAGGCTATTTCTTGGTTTATATCACGGAGGGTGTGTATCAGGAATACGTAAACATAGCGAAAAACAAAAAGAACTTGATGTTACTGGGAGATGGAATTAATCGAACAGTCATCACGGGCAATCGCAGTGTTGTGGATGGGTGGACAACATTCAATTCAGCAACATTTAGTAAGACAGCGAACAATACAGATATTAGATTTTGAAAACCATTCTATACATAAAACTAACCAGCAAGCCACATTTGGATTTGCAGTTGTGGTAGGACAAGGGTTTGTGGCAGTGAACATAACATTCAGAAACACGGCAGGTCCAATCAAAAGACAAGCAGTGGCATTAAGAAGTGGAGCGGACATGTCAACTTTCTACAGTTGCAGTTTCGAAGGCTACCAGGACACCCTATATACGCATTCTATGAGGCAACTTTACAGAGAGTGCGACATATATGGAACTGTGGACTTCATATTTGGCAACGCGGCTGTTGTATTACAGAACTGCAACATATACCCACGCTTGCCCATGAGTGGACAATTCAACGCAATCACAGCACAGGGTCGAACCGACCCAAACCAGAACACGGGCATTTCCATACAGAATGCCACTATAAAGGCTTCCGACGGTCTTATTGATGCTTCCCAGAATGGGACGGTGAAGACGTACCTCGGGAGGCCATGGAAGGAGTACTCGAGGACGATTTACATGCAGAGTTTCATGGACGATTTGATAGAAGCTTCGGGTTGGCGGGAGTGGAATGGGAATTTTGGTTTGGACACGCTGTACTACGCAGAATATGACAACAGGGGACGTGGTTCGGCCACCGGGAACAGGGTGACGTGGCCCGGTTACCATTTGATTAATGCCTCCGATGCCGTTAATTTCACGGCGGCTAACTTCCTGCAAGCTGATGCTTGGCTGCCGCGCACCGGCGTCCCCTTCTTCGCTGGTTTGATTTAGATCCATTCTTACAACCACGCTGCTCTGTTTTCCCATTGGAATGAGTAGCCACGCTCCACTTTACAAGTCTCTGAGCATTGTTGATCATGGTTATTAACATTACAGATGTTTGCTCCTCCTCTTTCTGACAATACCTTATTTTTTTCAGTATTCGGATTCTCAGATGATTAGCATGCTGGACCTTTTATATTTATTTCCTGTGGGCGATGGCATGTATGCATAAATGTATTTTGCATTGACAAAGCAAGACCGTGATGGCTGTTGATGATGTTGCGGTGATTGTCCGCTAAAAGAAAAGAACACGACTGTATATTCATGGTGCCGAACTATTGTATTGTGTTCATTGGGTCTTGAGCCCTGTTTGACACTGGGCAAATGTCAATGGGAAACATATGTATTCAAAATTCTTTAGATAAAAAAAAAAGGCCCTGCTAATAGCATTCAATCAATACAATCCGTGGAGGATAGGGCAGAGGAACGCTGGTCATCAGTATTATCAATGTATGGGAATAGTGCATTAAAGATTAAGAAGTTTTTATTTAATAATGTAAACCGTTGTTATACCCTGATTTCACCATCGATTGATATTCTTTTTTTTTTTTTTGTAGGTGAAAAATGATGAGTGAACTGGAGAGACGATAAAATAAGAATTTAATTGTAGTTAGTTGAGAATCGAGATACATATACCTGTTAACAGAGAGCATAGCTTGGGGAAAAAAAAAAGAAGAAATTTGACTTGGCCTTAGATTTCTGAAGCTACAGAATTTTGAAACAAGACAAAAAATCTAAAACATTAATGGTTTTAGAGTGGAAGAAGTACGTAACAAATTAGACTGAGGCCTGACGGTGACAAAGTATTCCATTTTTAGTTATGCGTGACATTCGCTGTTGACTTCTTGGTAAAATTTTCATGGAGTCATGGACGGTGTTGCCGGTTAGAAAACATCAATCGTGATCATTCTTTTTTATGATATATATTTAAAAATTGAAAAGAATAAGCATCGAAAGTAAAAATAAATTATTTCGTGTCATTTTTTAAAGTATGCATAGCTTAACATTTTTAATTTAAAAAATGAGAGGGCAGACAGGTCAGCTGGCTTGATCATTTTGAGGAAGGATCGCATTATATGGAAGGGCTAATACAAATCTGGAGGGAGGGTCAACATGATTTTGGTCAGAGACGTCCTGAGAGGGAAGTTCAAAACACACTTGATCAGAGTTTGGCATCTTTAAACTCAATATTTATAATTAGGAGGAACCAACCAATGCACTCGTCTTTGGAGAGTTTGTTTTTCTGTTCATTTTAATGACAACGCTGTTGACATTTGATGGAGAGAGCCGTTTCCCTTGCATATATAACAATATGAAACAAATCAACAACCAAAGAATCCCTTGTAAAAGCAACTTGACGCGCTAAAATAGTCAACTTCAATTTATATACGTATAGATATACATTGAAGTCGTTGCACGCAAATTCATAAACGGAACAAGGGCTCGGGGCAGAAGCAAAACCGCCGCAGAAATTCAAGTTCTGTGTGAAAGGAACTAGAGGAGTTCATGAGTTGAATGGGGTTGAGGTGGTAGGCAGATTTGAGGTTGCCTGAATTAGACACGAAGACCACGGGTCGTGGGTTAGGGTATACGTCTCTCTGTCCCGATTGGAGGCCAAGTTCCCGAATTCGGAGACCCTGATAAATATCTAATCTTAAATATCTAATCCGAAATTGATTGATTACTATAGTCTGGCCAAACCTTTAACTGCCCCCAATCAGCAGTCAATGTAGAATGGAACCTGCAGCTATGACTTGGATCCTCAACTGTGCTCCTCTCCGCATTCGAAGTTCAAGTGCACTCTCCAATCAATTAACAAGTCGTCTTTTTCTTCATATTGATGCGGACCTACCAGAATTTATGAATTTAATTAATCCAGGGGTTTACTATACGTGATCAATTGATGGATGACAGTGTTGTGGAGATGGCCGCGCCATTTGCAGTTTTAAAACAGTCAAAATCTAACACCCATCATGTGTGGATACCAGTGATTTTAAAGCCGAATTGAACTGAACAGTCAGATTGGTCCGACCGTTGATAGGTTCAAATTTCAGTTTGATTAATATATGAAAATTATTTTGAAGGTTAAGTCAAGGTTGGGCCGTTTAAACTGGTGTTTGGATCGGGAATCAGAATCAAATCGAGAATTATATTCGATTTTCAAAAACTGAACTGTTCAATAAAAAAAACTTTTTTATTGAATTTTTTTAGAAAATGACTAATTTTTTTAATCATTTGATTTGATATTATACTGTATCATGCGGCTTGTTAAGTCACGATAAATTTAAAATATTTAATTTTATTTAAATTAAGTAACAATTTCATATTTATTTCTTATATTTAGATTATTATATATATATATATATATAATTTTTTTAATTTAATTATTACGTCATTAGTTTGACTAATAGTCCAATTTGATAGAATCATGTAAACTATAAACTATTAACTTTTTCAATTTAATATGCCGTCTGATTTTAAAAACATTGATGCGGCCGCGAAGCTTCCCTCCTCCCATCTCACAACTTGAGTTTCCGCGTTGCACAGAATTACAAGGCGATCTAGGGGGAGTCTCTTCTCATATACTTATCCTCTTTGGAAAGCTGTACGAGCAGTCTTCTCGATTTTTTCTGAAGCCAGCTTGCAAATTTTGTCACTTACTGAAAATCTACGTTCTCAGAGTTGGTTCTATGTCAAAAAAAGAGACCCCAAATTGCCATATAGAATCGCAAACAGTTCACGCGTTTGCTGTCTAGTTTGCCCGATTAGAGTGATCGAGTCAAAAGTGAGCCAGACATTTTTCCCCCCTTAAATCAACTAAATAGGTGAAGTGCGTAATTTTCTGAAGTAAAAAAACAAGATGAAATGACTACAATCAATTCTGGCCAATCTTCGTGAGGAAATCCCCCGGTCTTGAGTCAATTTGCTATGTGTGGAGCGTAAAAACTACTCATCAAGTACGCATTTTCTGCCCCTGCTATGCTCATAGCCTTTACCCATTAACATACCTGAACATTCATATTAATGTGTCTGTCAGATAACAATTATATTCATATTGAGCATATACTATCATTCATATCCATTATTTGATATTTGATCATCTGAAACAACGCCCCCGTTCATATGTATCGTGTTTCAATTTGACAAAGGCTCATCATTCTAGTATTTAAAACGCCTGGGATCTTCGGTTCTCATCAATTAATTGCCAGTTCTCATACACGCATGTGTTTGTCAAGCCTTGCAAATCTTGCATATCTCAAATAAATTTTCCTAATCTTATCAGTGTTTAAACTATTAAGGGTGTGGAATACATGTCTGCCCACCATGACGTTTGGGTATATTGACGGCGTCCGTTGTTCCAAACCAAATGCATTGCTACCAAAAGGCTGGCACGATCATACCAAACAAGAATTTTCTTTTCAATCCTGATTATGCTGCCCCTTTTGCTTTTCATTATCCACCGTCTTTGTACCCTTTTTAATCTGTTATCGTGAAAATTAAATGCAAAATGATAATATTGATTAAATTGAGAAGTTGATTATTGCTATATAATTGTTCGACTTTGACTGGGGGGAAGGAGCAGGGCTACCCAGGCACAATTAATATTATATGCGTGTATAAGTTAATGAAGCATATATAATTTACAAATACATACACTTATCATTAAAAATTACTTCATTTCCTCTAGTTTCAACGTCACTAAAGTAAAGAAACAAAAATTTACGCGAACGATTTTTTTTTTAATTACAAAAAGTGCTTAGAAAGCGCGAAACTAACAGAAATTGATGGCATCACTGCTAGATTTTAATTTTAATAATTAAAACTAATTATCTCTTACCCGGAGACATTAGAAGGCAGATCTTTTTTTTTTTATTGGGACCTTGAAAGAATGTAGATCTCATCAACTAACAGAATTTTGTCATTTTGCAAACTATTGCAATGTTTATCAGGTTTAATTATATTTATGCCGAAATCCACCCCACCTAAGGGGTGAAAATAAAAATAATAATAATTCATTCTCCGCGCAGTACGGGAGTAAAAGTTTTCAAATATTGGGTACCGTCTCCAATTACTTTAATTCCCACCAACTCCATATTTGACATTAAATTAGTCTATAAATTTTAGTGGAGTATTGAGTCACCCTGTTTCAAGTTTCAGTGTCTAATAATACCAAGCAGCATGCAAATTATCATCCATATAAAATATAAACTAAATCTTTAGCATCGGTATAATCCACAATCATAAAAAATTATGGCTTAGCTTGATTGTCATACATGACAAAATGTGTACTTCTTCTCATTCTAAATATTACCTCTAAATCACAATATAAGACGTTTTTAAAAATCTTATTGGGTCCAAAAGATATAGCATTAGAAAATTTTTATAATTATTTTATCAATTATACTACTCCTACTTCATTTATTAATTTTCTTGAAAAAATGATGTTTTGAAATTTTAATTATCATTATCAAAGAATTTATATAAGATATTTAATAAAGGTAAAATTAAAAAGATATAATTTTTTAACAAATTAAGGCTTCAACAAATAACATTTTTTAGTAAACTGTGAATTAGCTACCTATATCCTATTTTTTGGTCCAGAGAAGGTATAAAAAAAAAAAACCAACTCACACAGTTTTAAAAAGTTAGTTAAGTATAATAATTACATCTAAAAATTTTAAAACTATAAAAAATTATCCCCATAATTTGTCTAGTGAAAATAAACATTGATTTTATGATGGACAATTTGAGAAAAATTGTAATAAATGCTTTTTAAAATTTTTAATTTTGCTAATAAATAAAAACATGGTAGTTTTTCCCAAAATTGGAGTAGTATCATTTTAATTAAAACTAGATGAAATTTTTTTCCCATCCAACAAGTTGTTGAATGTCATAACGCAAACTCATGTGAGCAAAAGGTTATATCCGTTTTTCCGCCAGATAGAAAAGCTTTCCAATTTTCATAGGGCTGATAATTGATATCCCCCTAAAAAAAAACTTTTTAATAAGTGGATTATAAACTTTTTTTTTACTATTACATGCCCAAGATTATTTAAAAAAAAAAGCCTCAACAGAAAAAGAAATACTGTGTTGATTGTTGTGAGAATGAACTATGTGTATCAAAATCATTGTATGACTGAGTGGCACTTGATTCAACTGATTAAGTTAAATCAATTTATTTCGGAGCTAAATCAACATGCACGGGCTTGATTTATCTCCACATAACGATAATTTGAATTACTTTAAGCGAGAATTGATAATAGTTTCAATTTTTTCAAAATAATGGAATCACAAAAAGAGATGGCTGTCTTTTTGGGTGACGAATTAAATTGGTAAACAGCCATGGCCTTGGTGTATAGGAGACCCACGCGCATTAGACAGGTCCACATTGTTGACTCCGCAGAACGTAACCTTCACAATGTATACATTATTACATTATATTTCCAATCTTCATTTCATTTTTTTAAAAAAAAAATAATACTAAAAGTCCACCCTTTCTCCTATAAATTGAAGCTGAAACCCATTGGAGCACTCACTCGTCTTGCAACGAAGCATTCATCAGTTTCCAAATTCAAGAATACCAACATGGCAGTCAAGCTACGTTCTCTCTCAACAATGTCATTTCTTCTTCTCCTTCCCCTGCTCACCTCCTTGGCCTTTGCAGACACTTCTCCTTCGACTCCTGTCACCCCGGGAACCGCATGTAGTTCCACCCCTGACCCTTCTTACTGCAAGTCCGTTCTCCCTCCCCAGAAAGGCAATGTCTACGACTATGGCCGCTTGTCCGTCAGTAAATCCTTATCACAGTCTCTTAAATTCTTGAGCCTCGTCGATAAATATCTCCGTCGACGATCTACTCTATCCGCGGCCGCTGTTCGTGCACTCGAAGATTGCCGGACGCTCGGCGGGCTCAACTATGATTTCCTTTCCAATTCCCTTCAAACTGTGAACAAGACGACTAAGTTTCTTCCCAGCTTGCAAGCTGACGATATCCAAACCCTCCTCAGTGCTATCTTAACTAACCAGCAGACCTGCCTGGATGGCCTCAAAGACACGGCTTCAGCTTGGAGCGTCAGGAACGGACTCTCCGTCCCACTATCTAACGATACCAAGCTATACAGTATGTCACTAGCTCTGTTCACCAAAGGCTGGGTTCCCGATACCAAGACCAAAACGACTGCGTTCCAGCCTACCAGGAAACAACTTGCCTTCGGAAATGGCCGTTTGCCGCTGAAAATGTCAGGCAGAACTCTTGCCATCTACCAGTCTGTGAGTCAGAGAAAAATGCTTCAGACAGCCACCGTGGGCGGTGACGTGGTTGTTGTGAACGACATCGTGACGGTGAGGCAAGACGGGACTGGAAACTTCACCACCATCAATGACGCCATTGCTGCTGCTCCAAACAAGTCTTCCTCCACGAGCGGCTACTTCCTCATCTACGTCAGCGCAGGTGTCTACGAAGAATACGTCACCATCGATAAGAAAAAGACGTACTTGATGATGGTCGGAGACGGTATCAACAAGACCATCATTACCGGCAACCGAAGTGTCGTTGACGGGTGGACCACCTTCAACTCCGCAACTTTCGGTAATTAACTGAAGAATGTCTCTGCAAAATTCGACATTTTTTTTAAATTTTTTTTTGAAGGTGGAGAATTAACGCTTACTTTGTGAATGGTGCATATGCAGCTGTGGCAGGAAAAGGATTCGTGGGAGTGAATATGACGATTCGCAACACCGCGGGGCCGGAAAAGCACCAGGCCGTCGCAGTTCGAAACGGAGCAGATTTATCCACGTTTTACAGTTGCAGCTTCGAGGCGTATCAGGACACGTTATACGTGCATTCCCTGAGACAGTTTTACAGAGAATGCGATGTATACGGAACCGTTGATTTCATATTCGGAAACGCCGCCGTCGTGCTCCAAAACTGCAACCTGTATCCGCGTTTACCAATGAGCGGGCAATTCAATGCCATCACAGCACAGGGGCGGACCGACCCAAATCAAAACACGGGTATTTCTATCCACAACTGCAGCATCAGAGCGACCGACGATCTGGCGGCGAGCAACGGTTCGGTGAGCACTTATCTTGGGAGGCCGTGGAAGGCGTATTCGAGGACGGTTTATATGGAGAGCTTCATGGATAGCGTGATACAGAGCGCGGGTTGGCAGAAATGGGACGGTGATTTTGCATTAAGCACTCTGTATTATGCGGAGTTCAATAACAGTGGGCCTGGGTCGAGCACCGCCGACAGAGTGACGTGGCCGGGCTACCATGTTATTAACGCCACCGACGCTGCTAATTTCACGGTGTCCAACTTCTTGCTCGGAGATGACTGGCTGCCTCACACTGGAGTCGCGTACACCAGCACCTTGATCAATTGATATGGGCATATTCTAATTGATTTATTATTATCCATTTTTTTAATTTCCTAGAATAAACGGGGTTATGCCAAAAGCAAAGACGGGGCTTAACATGGTCCATTCGTGAGTCGTGACACCCTAGTAGCCCCCCAAATTAAATATGTTCAGTTTCAAAATTTTTTTACTGATTATATATGCCTTTGTTGAAATTCAGTATAATTATTTTGATACACTAATCCAAAATTATATGTTGATTTTGACTTCCGTTCCCGTTGTTTCTTTTGCTTTTACTTTTTGTACTTCTGTTACCCTATTGCCTCTTTTATTTAGTAGCTTCCGTGTCGTTTAATTCCTTTCCAAATCAAAAATCGTAAGCCGAATTTGAGAGAAACGGAAGTGAAAGTGATCTAAGCTTTTCTAAGAAAATATAATGAGACTAGGCAGCTAAGTATATATGAAGGCCTTGCACGAAAGAGCACCCAAAGTGTACGTAGCAGTGATATATTTGGCATACTCATCACTATTAAAAAATTCAAATTTAACACAATTCTCACTAAATATCATTTTTTTAATTAAATTATATTTTAATAAAAAATTTTATCTCTTGCTAAATTTATAATTAAAAAAGAACTCACTAACTTTAGCAAGGAATTATGTTTTTCTCGTTAATTAGTGAAGGATTTAGTGAATCCCTCACTAATTTTAGCAAAGTACTGAATCCCTCATTAAATTTCTCACTAATATTATTTTAAATTTGATAATTTAGCGAGGGATTAATTTCTCACTAAATATACCTTTATTTAAAAATAACGATCCCTTCAAGCCTTATGCTCTCCTTTTCTGTCAATTGAATTGAAAGGCACTTGTAGCTATTATATAAAAAATTAAATATATATTATTTAACTGCATAAATATATTAAATAATATATTATAAAAATACACACATATATACATATTAAATTTTCTTTTCAATTATTAATATATTAAAAATATTTATATTTTATTTAAATCATTCTTTACATTATATTTTTAATAAAATATTATTCTATTAATGAAAATAAACTTAAAATAAAGAATATAGTAAATATTAAATAATTTTATTATAAATATTTTAGTTAAATTTTAAATTTAATTTTTATTCTTAAATAAAAATAATTAAACTTATAATTAAAAGTCATTCCCAAAAGTTAGTTTTTTTGTAGTAATTAGCTAGGAATAAAATCTCTCACTAATTATTTTATTTTAGAGAGGGATTGATAATCTCTTGTTATTTTTCTCGCTAATTTTTTTATTTTAGAGAAGGATTAGTAGTCCCTCACTATTTTCCTCGTTAATTGTTTTATTTTAAAAAGGGATTGATAGTCCATCATTATTTTTTTTGCTAATTCTCTTATTTTAGAGAGGGATTGACAGTCCCTCACTATTTTTCTCACTAATATTAAGTCAAGTTATGAAATTAACATCTCTCGCTAATTTGATATTTTAGAGAGGAATAAAAGATCCTTTATTAAATTCTCTCGTTAATTTGTATTTTTCTGGTAGTAATTACTTATCAAGTTATTAGTTGGTATAATGATATCTGATTACCTCATCAACGAGTTCTTTTGTTTTAGCTTACTTATAGACAGCTAATTCAAGAAATGACTCGGCACGTGACACGGACGGCAATCATTTGCACAAGACCCTGCTTTTGACAAGGCAACGGGATTAAAGCATCCAGTTAGTTGGTCAGCGCGCTGATTTAAACTGCATTTGCTTCCAACTCAAGCGTACCTGGACCATACACATGCCCTTTCACAAAAATGGATAGTATGATATTATATTCCTGCATTTGTTTAATGCTTTGGATGAAAGCAAACCATTAAATTAAACATTAAGGTCCAAGGCCGGTTCTTCTTTTCCCTTTCATTTATGTTAAACGTAGATACTGTTGTTTGTTTTCATACATTTATATATTGAGATCACCTCAGTTTTGAGGCACAGCAAGCTGAATGGCATCGCACTTTCACAAGTGTGAGCCACTTGATGATCTGTGCTGCTACAAATATTACCCCACGTGCTTTCATTTTACAATTTAGAAGTAGATAAATTCGGGTTTATCTTGCTTTGGAAAATTCGTTCTTTACATTGTCAGTAACCATGTTCGCCTTCCAGCTGCAAAGAATCCGAGTATATTCATTCATCCACCATGAAAGAGAGTGATCATTTTACACATGTAAGCGAATTATTTTGTTCCTGATTGGCGTGTGTATGAAGTTTGATCGTCTCTGGCACCCCACTTTAAAAGGTGTTGATGTATGTTGTAATTTTTGTATAATAGGAGGCATTTTAGGACTGCTCCGGTCTGTGCTAGCTTCATAATTTACATATTAACCAAACCCATCTTAACAGATTAAACGTACATTTGGAGAGTCGTCTCATGCCATGCATGTGTCATTAATAGACGTGGAATGCCGCTGTGACATACATGTAAGATGCAACCACACAAAACTGCATAGTTTTTCTTTGTTTAAGTTAACGACTAATTATTAAGTGCGGGTGTCAGGCTGTCAGCGCCCATTTCTACATCCAATTGTGCAAGGGACAGAATTAATTCGAGATCGAGAAAATGCCAGGGATATATTTTAATAAGGTTATGAAATGTAATAACAAGCAAGGAATGTTATGTTTAGGTTAGAAAGGAGAGTGACGTGAAAGGAAATGAAATATATAAAAGCTGGTTCTAATTAGACCTGGTTATTGTCTAAGGCCTGGCAGATGGACAAGGAAATGCTGCACAAGAGGCGGAAGTTGTCCTCTTTATGCAAGAGGAGGTGATCGTCTCCGTTAAGGTAACCCTCACAGGTTGACACGGCGTCCACCGCAGCCTGCAGCCATTTTTCAGTGTCCTCTCCGATCTTCACCAGCATCGCCGCCGTTGCCGTGTTGAGCTGCTCTTGTGCGTCTCCCAATATATCCAAGCAATCCGACATGCCCTGCTGCACATCCGGCGGCAAACTGTCATCCACCACCAGCACCTTCAAGTGATTTATTATATCTGTAGCGTTGTCCTTGGCAGCCTGCACTGATATCAACGCCATCTCTTTCAGCCCTCCCGTTTGGCTTCTCGGGTCCTTTTTTAGGGTTTCCATGCACACGTCCTTCGATGGCGTTTTCTCGCATACCTTGCTCACCAGCGCCTCCCCTCTCAGTTCTTCTTCTTCTGCGTTAATCTGGTGAGGTATCAGAACCAGGACGCACACGCCCATTAATGCCATCAACAGCTTTGAGATGTTTTTCATTTTCGCTCTTTGCTTTCTGAAGCGAAGCTGCTATTTCGTATATATTACAAACTGCTGTTTGCTGTGATTGAATGGGAATGGTTGGCCTCTCTATGAGAATGGTCAAGTTGAAATGCCCGTCTTCTAAATGTATTATTGTTCCTCTAAATTTAGTAATTCTCTTTTAGCCACTCTTAAATTAGATTGTAGTTATCTAGTTTTTTCTTTTTACCAAAAATGAAATTACTCGTATTTAGGTTGCAGTTATCTAGCTTTTACCAAAAACTGAAATTACAGTTGGACGCATGCAGTGGTGACTTGTAATTTTATTTTTATTTTTATTTTTTTGTGTTTAAATTCTTGAGGTCAATATTCGTATTCTAGGGATGGGAACTCCATTTTTATAATCATTTTTATTATTTATTAATTATTCACCCAGGTGAATCAGCCTCTTACAAGGAACTCTTGTACTTAAGGCCCAAAAGGAAAAAAAATACCGAGCCACACATGCGTCCGATGTTTTACTTCTCCTTGGTAAAACGCTTTTTTTTTTTTGATTTTTAAGGTAAACGAGGTCGAGAAAATGTCGTCTAAACTTGTAGCCCCAAAAATGCTACATTTGAAAGCCTCAGGCCCACTCCAAGCGAAATAGAATAACGAGGAAGACCGAGAGCTATTAGCTACAGTTTTTAAAAAAAATTTAAAAAAAAGAAAAGAAATTGTGGACCAAACATTTCCTTGACCGTCATGCGCGTTATCATTTGCCAAATCGTGGCTTCATAATTCTAGCAGTCTATTTTTTACCACCAACATTTATTGTTAACTTTATGCTAATAATTTTAGTGTTGAATATTTATATTGAGCCAATGAAAGAATTAAAGGGTAAACAGTGAAGGATTAAAAAATGATGTTAAAATTAAGAGATAGAGCACAAAAGGGTAGTGGCCCAAAAAACCCGAAGAGGATAGGACTTGGACTTATTTAGATTGAGATTGGAGCACAAAAGGAAAGTAGTGGTAAATAGCCGTCAATCAAACAGTGTCCTCACAAGCGGAAGCGGAAGCAGAAGCCCAATCAATTTCTCATAAATTAAGCAAAACCGCATTGCAGGTTGCAGCAGCGCCACCGCTTGGTGGTAACCAACAAGGACCACGTCATTCACATTTTTGTCCTATTTATGTATTTCGAGTAACACAACAGGATTTCAAAATATAATTCATTGCCAGATAAATAAATAAACAAATGCTCACATTCAAAGGGGCATAATATAAATCATCCAAATAATATTACACCTAGTGACCAGTGTTACGCTTTTACACCTAATAATATTGTTAGAGATTAGACTCAAAGTTACTCAGCCATTACAACCCACAAAAAAATACGTGTACATAATTATATTAAGGTGACTATTCACAAAGATAAGACAGATAATTTAGCCTACAGATTCTTTTCGAATACAAAGCGTTAAAGCAACGTGAATAGTAATATTAGTCGGTATCAACAAAGAAAAGGCCACTTTCGTCCTTTGGCTCGTTGGGCCAGTCTGGGCCCCAACCCCACATTGTCCCCGGCTTTCCGCTACCCGCTCCCTCCAAATAGTCAAATACCCTTCCATCGTCCATCATCGGAACTTTTCAATCGGGTCTCTCCTGGTGAACCCGATTCCGAACTCCTCCTGTTCTGACCCAACTCTTCCTTACTCGCCTCCACTATTACGCCCAGCACATCTAAATCGAACTCCATCCTCGGGCACGAAATCGGAGGAGGAAGATACGAGCAGCCAGCGAACTCTCCTTCGGACACAGCCGCCTCTGTTCTTTGGGGCGAGATTGTTGAAGGCTGAACCAGTGCTCGGCATATTGGGCAGTTGGAATGAGAGCGGAACCATGTATCAATGCAATAGGTATGAAAACAGTGGTTGCAGTTAGGGAGGAGGCGACCGTCCTCGTCTTCTTGGAACTCCGACAAGCAGACGGCACATTCCTGGAGGTGGGGGTGGGTGTTGTTGGAGTAGATGAAGGTGGGAAGGAACTTGAAAAGAGAAGGGTCGAGGGCCGTTTGAGGGTGGGCGGTGGCAGTCGGGAGGAGTAGCTGAGTCTGGCGACCGCGGCGTTGTGGGCGGCGGCGGCGGCGGCGGAAGCAGGAGGGAGAGTAGGTGTGGAGGAAGATGATGAGGATAATCATGGAGAAGAGAAGAGTAGCAGAGCAGAGCAGGAGCTTACCGTTATGGGCATATTTATTATTGTGAGCGTCCGTATCCATATCCGTGAGCGCAGTGTGAGACTGTTGGGACAGAGAGTAGTTTCAGACTTTCAGTTATTTATTTATGATTGTGGGTGGAGGGAAGCTTAGTCGAAGGTTCCTTTTTTTTTTCCCGCAATATTTTTGTTAGCTCCGGAATAATTTCAATTTTTTATTTTTAATCAAGTAAATCTCGTGAGATATTCCTATGCAACTTGATATCTGATTTTTTTAAATATGCACTCGTTTTGAATAAAAAGATGATTATACACCTTTCAAGTATATATATAACTTTGCAAATTGTCAAAGAATGGTTGTCTTTAATTGGTGGCCATGCTATCTCAGTCTTTTGAAATAGGTTTCGGTTCGAATTTGATATTATATGCTTGTATTTGTACGTCAACGCGTGTCTTTCTTTTTTTATGGAAAAGTAAAATTTTGAGGGAAAAAAATATGCATATTTCTTGTGATAAAAAAATTATACACAAGATTTTTTTTCTCGTGATAAATAAAAATTACACATATTTCTCATTTCAAAAAAATTATGGCATTTCATCGAGAAAAAAAATTATTGCACCGTTTAAGGTTGATTAATTGTTCGGAATTTTTTTTTAATTATATATTGATACATTAGCACATTGACATTGGTGAGTTATCTACGAAAGCACATGCCTAACCTGTGGATTGTTAACGTTCTTTTTTAAAACCTGGAATTAGGATTGAAGTTAAAGTGACTCCACGCCGGTATGTGGTGATACACCAGAAGAAGAAAAATTGAACGCACTTCCTTCGATTTAGTTATTATGCATTGATCGGAATAAAATATGCTAAAACACGCGAACACCCCCCCCCCCCGGAGAAAAAGGGGAAGGCAAGAGCACGACTTGTTTCATAAGGATAGGATGGCATCCTGAACATGCATCCTGCTTTAAGGATCTGAGACCTGCAAGTTTGTGCAACACAATGTATAAAACTGCCTCTAAGACACTTCGCCTTCGGCTGAATGAAGTATTGAGCAGGCTTATTCACCATTTTCAAAGTGTCTTTCTTAAAGACAGACTTATCTCGGGTAATATCCTGCTTGTTGCTGATTTAATGCACCTAATTCACCATGCAGACAACAGAAAAACGAAGCTGGGAACTCTAAAGATTGACTTCTCAAAGGCCTTCGACACACAGTCTTGGAATTTTGTCACGACTATCTTACAGAAAATGGGATTTCTGCCAAAATGGATCAATCTCATCTTTCAATGTTCGTCTACAATTGGATACAGACTCCTTTTAAATAGTCAACTCTCCTGCCCCATCTCCCCCAACAGCCAACAGAGGATCCCCTTACATTTACATTTTAGCTACAAATGTGCTATCATGCGTCATCCTTGATCGTGAAAAGAGTAAATCATGGAAAGGTATTAAGATTTGCCAGAATGCAATCCAATCACTCACTCCTAATATGCTAATGATCTCATATGGTTCTTTGAATGCACAAACTCAAATTTTCATGCCATCAAAGAGGCTATCCAAATTTTTTTTTTTTTTTGCGCCCTCTCCGGCCAGCAGATCATTCAAAAAAAATCAAGCCTCGTTCTAAGCCCCAACACACCTTTTCCAACAAAAGAAAGAAAGTATAAAGCGATAACCCAGAGCAGCCATGAAGCCACAACTACGAAAGCAGAAAACCATAGGAGCGAGCAAGAAAGACTTGTTACAGTTGAGCACAGAACGCCGCTAATGTCACACGAAGATGAAGAGGCTATTTGGGAATTCCGACGCAGCCAAATGGGACTCCGAACTAACATCGAAGGGAGTGATTCTCCTATGTTCAAAGGAAATATCTAATACCGTTGGAGAATGGCATCCTTAAAGGGCAGGTGGTGGCGTGGTGCCAAACGTGCGTTATGATGAAAATAGGCAAATTTCCTTTTCCACTGGCCACTTTTCGATGCACTACCAAACAGGCTCTAATATTAGCAGAAAGGATTCGCGAGGGGCAAGCATTTTCTTGCCAATGGGTGCATACAAGGCCTGGCTCCAAGTCTCAGGAAGCAGGCACCTTTTTTTTTTAAAAAAAAAAAAAGCCAATAGGGTGGCTTCATTCATCTGCGGCATCGACTAACTGCGCGTTACACTAAGCGATAGTTAAAAAAAAAAAAAATTCCGGTTTTATCAAAAGAAAGGAATCAGATCAATATCAGACAATCACTAGTCAGTGAAGCGAAACGCTACACCAAAGGTTCATCAATCATTAGTAAATTTGTTTCTCAAAACAAAATTGTCTGCCTTCTTCCACTCTCTCAGCAAAAAATTAAAATTACCAAAAGCAAACAGTTCTAACGTCACAAAGGAGACGACATACAAAATAACTGCAAGATAAACGTAAATCTCCACGATGCTTGAATTCCAGAATTTAAACTCTGAATCCTTTACTATTTCTTCTTCCTCTGGCCCGCTCAAATTTCCTTCCTTTTGAACGGACATAGGGCTTCGAGTGGCTATGTGGCACACCTGGAGCTGGCCCAAAGTGCTTGACAGCTTCACGGGCATTCTTAGGACCTCTGAGGAGAACCTGACATCATTGCAGAGAAAAAATCGTGATTCAGCATCACGTCTATAATTTCCTTGCTTTAAAGAACAAACAAGTGAGATGAAATAATTACACTTTATAAGTATAAACCATAAATATATATCCAGTAAGTCACCAGGATTCTTATTAGGCCAGTCAGGATACAAAGTTAAGTACTTATCACATTATTTTCCTCCACCATTTATAACCCTCACAAGTGAATACGAAAGGTTTTTGATGCGGACCCTAGCTAGAGTGTCTTGTTTCAGAACATTATTAATTTTAAATGGACTTTAGAAGTGATTGCCTAACATGAAAATCATTAAAAACTAAAAATAAACAAATAATAAGAATAAGAATAATTTCCACATACCATAATTGCTTGTTTCTTCTTACATTCCCAATTTTTGGTCGTTAGCTTGAATCTTGCATGACTTATTACCATACTTATTGGTTCACCAAGTTGTAAAAAACTAGTCCTTTCCATTAGACCCAATCCCTGTTGGTGACTTATTACCATACTTTATCCTGAAAGCTAACTATTTTAACTTATATGATTATGATAGCTTAGTATTATGATAACCAAAACTTACATATACTCTATTGATATATTATTTTCCTCTATTCCTGATTTAGCTCTTGCTTTACTCAGTAGAAAAGGTTTTTTGTACCTCTCACTCGGTGTCCTTATGACAGTCCAAGGGGTCAAGGGCGACTATAGACTTTGACTCCTTTGTATTCAGTAATAACTCTAAAATATCCACAGAAATAAAGTGTTCGACTCAGCCTCTCACTTCAAATAGAGTAATCTTCCATGAAACATTCCTAAAACCGGTTTCTTGTCACTTTCCCCACCACTTCAAAGTCAGATCTCTACCTCTGAATACTGAAGGTGACTTCAGAAATCGAACATTCCCTTGAGTATATAATTAAGCATCACTTAAAAACTAACGAAATTTATATTTTAGAAAACTAGTTATTCATGTATAATTTCTTCGTGAATCTTATGATTCAATATGAGTCACGGCTCAACAATATTCTGATTTGTAACATGAACCGAGATTCATAACATGTCTTAAGAAGAAAAGGAATAACTCATTACAATAGCTAAGTAATCCACAAGCACGCTCCCGATAAGAATATACAAGCAGTTGAGATAAGCATGCTCATAGTGACAAAGGCCACAATTGGAAAAACAAGTGACATGCTAGGCTTCATGAAATTGTACTTGTTTTCTATCACTTAAATCTAAAACTACGAGGGACTACATGTTTTACAAGTAAAAACTCTTCTTACACCACCGTTCTTAAACATTCTCATTCAAAAAAGGGCAACGGAATATGAAGAAATTCAACTACGCAACAGCAAAATGGTTAAGGCTTCGATTTAATACATTCAGAACAAAAATCACATTTAGAATCCGGCATATAATGCAAAACATACTAGCAGCGTAAAAATTTATACCGTGTTCTGTCCTAGGGGAGCTCTAAGAGCCAGCTGATCAAAAGTCAGGCACTCTCCGCCAGCCTTCTCAATTCTAGCCCTAGCAGTTTCAGTGAACCTCAAAGCAGTCACCTTCAGCGCGGGGACTTCATACACACGAGTGTCATCGGTCACAGCCCCGACCACTACGGCGATCTTGTCTTCCTAATGCATGGACCAAGAAGAAATAGGTAAGAAATATCTTATATTTTTTTCCTCAGTAGTTGCACATAACACAAGGTTCCAAGAGAACATTTTCATAGCTAACAAATACTGTCATGTATCGACTATTTTGTAGCAGATGTAACCAATCAAGGTTGTGAACAAAGCCACACAAAGCTCAAAACCTAAGCGATAGGTACCTTTCCCTTCATGAAACGAATCAACCGAGATAGAGATAGAGGCGGCTTGTTGACCTTGCTCATGGAAAGCCGTTTTAGAATCACCGCATTGAAATTACTCTCAGTCCTCCTAACAAGAAACCGGTAAAGCTGAAAAAGTAACAAGTCATGTCAATTACCAACAGCAGTGCAGTAAAACTAGAAAGGGGAGGAAGAGTGACATTGAGAGAGAGAGAGAGAGGGAACCTTGACAAGGAGCTTCAAGTAAATATCATCAGATTTGGGACCGGTTCGCTTGGTCTTTTTGCTCTTACCTCCTGCTTTCAAATCGATACCCTGCAATTGATGAAAATGAGAACAGAAAGTCGATGCGAGAAGGAGGAGGGTTCAGAGACAAACTAACCATGGTGAATGGACTGGTTCCGTCTCTGCGGCACCGAGTTGCTGCTCTAGGATGAATCCAGGAGGGGGAAATTAGGGTTTTATTGCGATTGCGGAGAACAAACCAAGTTCCGCCCCCTAGGTTCTTGTCCTGCACTGTATCTAGTCCGTCCGTTTAATCCGACGACTACGATCGCCAGGTCGTCTTGTAACTAAACCAAACGCTACGTTTCATTTTATCTCTTCCAGTCCTCCTCCATCACGAATCCCCATCCACCTTGTGTCCCGTTTGGTTGCAGCAAATTAAAGATAGGGAGGTAAACTAAAGGTGAAGTTTAAAATTTTGTTTGTTTGGTATGCACAAAGAGGCTTCTTAGAGAATAATTTGATGGAATTGTGTTTATACCTACACACAAGGAACTAGGTTCCACTTCTCTGAACTAATGTTTTCAAAACTGAATCAAATATTGAATCGAAAAAGTTAATGGTTCACAATTCACATGGTTCAATCAGATTGGACCAATGGTCAAATCAGTGACGTAATCATTAAATTAAAAAAAGTATATATGTATATAATAATTTAAATATAAGAAATACATATGAAATTACTATTTAACTTTAAAAAAATCAAATATTTTAAGTTTATCATGACTTAACAAGCCACATGATATAACATAATATCAAATGATTAAAGAAATTAGTAATTTTTAAAAAAATTGATAAAGATAAAAAAATTTGAACAGTCCAGCTTTTGAAAATTGAATCCAGTTTCCAATCTGATTTCAATTTTCAGTCCATCCGCCGATTCGAAACAGCTCAACACGATTCAACCTCTAAAGCAATTTTCTTATATGAACCAAACCGATTGATCGTCGGATCAATCTGACTGTTCGATCTGATTTTAAAAACACTGCTCTGGAGTTCTCTGAGGCTTTACTTATTGACTATTTTGCGCCGATAGCCTCTTTTCCTATAACATAAAAAATGGAGGACCACGTTCCACAACATACTTTAGATTTTCAATGGTGATATTGATCCTCCTTATTGGCAAAGAAAATCTACTATCAATGTTCACCATGCATGTGTAGTAAGTTATGCTGCCCTCTTTCACAAACTTCGTTCAAACTTTGTCATCCTCTTCCTCCATGTCTCTATTGTGCAACTGCAACCACTTTATTGAAAACTTTGTCTGAAGTTCATCATCCTGTCCCTCCCCCTCTAAACATTAACTATGTGGCCATTCCCCACAAACTCTGTCTGAGTATATCATCACAAATTTGGGTTCCAAATCTCTATCTTCTTTTATGGCATTTTAGATCCATGTGTGAATGTATTTCATGATTGTTAGCTTTGATTTATGAAATTCAATCTTATTATTTATTTAATGTTTGAATGCTTCATTGATTGAGTGTGGTTGTCATCTTCCTCGTTTTGTCTTCTTTGATAGTGTTTTTTTTTTTTAACAAATGGTAGTTTTTCATAACAGTTTGCTTGCCTTTGCTTCGGGCATTGATGGTTTAAATCTGGCTCTTTTTTTTCAAGGATATATTGATCTTTTTCAAATATAAATACAACGTTAAATAAAATTTTTATCTCACTTCCATCACCATATTAAACATATTTTTAAATCCCACTTTCACTTTCATAAAAAACAATTCTCTGTACCAAATGAGCCATTACTATTCTACTCGAATAAAGAGAAAACATGAGAAGAAAGATATGGAGAAAAAAATAAGTTTTTCTCTATTTGGACAAGGGAAAAAAATAAAAGGAGAGAAAAAATATGAAAGAAAATGGGGCGTGGAATCCACCACATTTTTTATAGTACTCTTTTCCCTACATCTACCCACCTCTCTCTCTTCTATTTTCATGCTAGACTCTAGAGATCCCTATCTTCAATCCACACAGTAGCTCTACTTTCTTCTTTTTTGACATCATGTTCATTACAGTCAATGATTAAAAAATTGAATCAAATCAGACGTTCGAATTGTCGACCAATCAAGCTAACAGCTCAATTAAGTTGAAAAACTTGTTTGAGGAGTTGGGCTAGATTAAGACGCTTTAGGCTGACAGTTAAATCGAAAACTAGGTTCAGTTTTTAAAACCAAGCTTTAAAAAAAATACCATTTCCTTTTGTTAGAAAATGATTATTTTTTTAATTATTTGATGTTATGTCATATCACGTGATTTGTTAAGTTATGAAAAATTTAAAATATTGAGGTTTATTTTTAAGTTAAGTGGCAATTTATATTTATTTCTCATATTTAGATTATTACATAAATATGTAGTTTTTTAATTCAATTATTACATCATTGATTCAGTAGTTGGTTCAATCTGGTTGGACTATGTGAACCGTGCACCACTTGCCTTTTCAGTTCAATATCCGATTCGATTTTAAAAAGGCTAGCTGTTGTACTCTTTAACCAGACTTCATATAGTATGTAAGTTTATTATATTTTATTTATGCATAGCTATTGATGTCGGGGTACTCAGAAGAAATATATATAATTGTGATTGCATTCTACATGCATGTCACGAAAAATCTTAAATCAATTTTGTCCTCAACTTGTTTTTTTATATATAGGTTAAATCCTATAACATCTTTAATTTTAATTTTCTTGAAACATGAAAAGTCAAGATCCCAATTTTTATCAAGTGCAATAAACTAAAGCAATACTATCAGCCTTGCTGATCATATTTTTTTTAATAACCAATTTGATTGTATTAATTTTAATATAATTCTTGCTTTCAATTTATTTTTTACCAAAATAATTATATAAAATATAATATATTTTAATATAAGGATGTCTGCTCATTTTCTAACTTCTCTATTTTCTCTTATCTATCAAAATATAAAAACTAATAACATTTTTTTATAATTTTTTTTATTCACAACTTTTCTTCACATCTAAAATGAAAGGTATAAATAAGATTAATAATTTAAATATATTAAATTTATTTAAATCGAGTTTAAAATATTTAAATTTATAAAAATTTATATACTCAAGTCTAACTCTAATATTCTTAGCCTTCGGACTTGATTAAGTTCGACTGAATTTTCAAAACTTTTTTTTTAAAACCATTTCTTTCCTTTTTTGAACAAGGAAAGGAGGAAATAAAATAAAATATTTCAGAATATTAAAATATTTTAACGGCGCGTTTTAGAGGATTAAACACATGAGCCAAATATATATATATATATATATATTCGCCACCACATTTCCTTAGCTTCAGATAAAATCAAAAAATCAAAATTAAAATGGAAAACAAGTGTTCTGGGGATGGAGAAGAACGAAGGCAAAGGAAAAGGGGGTCTACTAGACTAGAGGTACGGCGATGAAAGCAAATGAAGAAAATGATGCAACTGGATCTAATGGTTGCTCAGGTGAAAGATGTAAGCGAACAAAGCTGAGGAGGCACGTATCGTGAGTCATGACTAGCCCTGAAATTCGATCCGAGGTTGAAGAAAACGATCTAAGTCAGAGGTGCCGCCGCGAGCGAACTAAAAGATCACCGCCTGTGAAACAATTGAGTTGAAGGAACAGAAGAGTGAGGCTGTTAGGATGTGAGAGGCGAGTGAAAAATGAAGAAGAAAGAAGACTAGAAGAGTATGCGTTCGTACTTGGAAGAAGAAACTAGAAAGAAGAGGACTAGTGAGTTTCTATATCTGAAGGAGAACAATGATCTGAACGAAGCTTGAAGCAGAACAATATAAACGATCTGGAAAAGGGAAGGTAGGGGGAGCAAAAAAGAAGGAAGAACAACGCTTCGAGCTCGGTTCTTTTTTATTTTTTGGGCAGAAAATAACAATAAAATAAATGGGTAATAGGGCTAATTTTTTTCGAGTTTGCTTGAGTAAATATGTTCAAAGTAAAGGATTTTTTTTTTTCTCTTATAAAAAAAGAAGGTAAAGGATTTTTCTTCAATTCCTTGACCTGCTCCTAAAGCCATCGGATTTAGCCTAAACTAGTGGCTCTAACGGCAAGAAGGCATGGGATGGCCTTGGCAGCTGCTTTTTAGGGGCTTAAAGCCGGACGGTGCTTGCTTCTGCCTGCCCATCAGGACCAAAAAAAAGTTGGTCGGCCCACAGAGCTTTCCTATTTATGATTAATGATTCATCCCATGTTCTTTCAAAGGTTCGATTTTAATTAGAGCTCGGGCGGAGCGAGATTATTCATATCAAGCTTAATTTAAATTAAATTTATTTAAAGTCAGGTTAAAATGTCATGCTTTACTTAAAAAGCTCATGTAATAAAGTTTGACCCTGACACTTTCGGACTTTGAATTTATTCAGGTCGATAGGAATATTCAAAATTTTTTTAAAAATATTTTTATTTTTTAAATCAATTATAATTTTTAAATAATCCTATTAAGTATGAGATATTATTTTAAGTTTACAAGAGTAAAAAAATAATAATTTATCAATTTTATCCTTATGTAATTTTGCCATCGTGTTGTCGTATTATATGTAATTTATTCATAAATATTTTTTTACTTGTAAATTAATATTTTAATTGTTTAAATATTGCTCTTATCATAGTCATATATAAATATTTTATATATTTTAATTAAATTAAATTATTTTAATTATGATTAAGTTAATTTCAATTTAATTTTGGTTAGACTACAAATTTAAAATCATTATTTTGAGTAGTTCAAAGTTTTTAATAATTTTTAAGTAAACTATACTTTTTTATTTTTAAGAATATGAAAAAAATAGTCATCATTATATTATATAAAATAATTGCATTTAATTATAAATAAAATATTATATTTTTAAATTATTTTTTCACCTTTTATATTGTTTAACCCCAACATACAAGGAATATTCACTTCAATTTATTATTAATTTTTGACTAAGTCTAACTTAAACAATAACCAAATAATTATTTAAAAATATTATTTTATTCATTATATTTATCTAATAGTATAATTGAGAATTTATAGACGTTTGAAATTTATTTTTAAAATTATTTTTAATTTAATTTTTATTTTAAAATTAATTATCTTATTTTATAAAAATATAAAATATATTTTTTAGATACTCAAATGATGTATAGGACTCAAAACTTTTTTTAACAGATAATTGAGTCTTGAAATATAAAAATAAATATTAAAATATATTTCAAATATTATTTTGATATATTTTATTGATTATGAATAATAAAATATGAAAATATAAAAATTTTTATTTTTTTAAAAAATAACTATAGTACCGCACTCAAATATATAATATTTTAGTGTAAAATGATATAAAATTTAAAAAATTAATTGATATTTGTTATGTTTTATATATTTTTAAAGATTTTTTTTTTGGGTATTTAAGCTAAGCTCTAATCCAATGAGGCTTGGCCCAATTTTTTTGAATTTATTCAAGCTAGCCTAAATGGAATCAATCACTAAAAATTTTATATTTTTGGGGGCTGGCACTGAATTTTTTGAGTGAATCCATTATGCTTGGTATGAATTATCAACTTTAGTTTTAATACAATCTAAAATGATGAATAAAGTGTTTAGATTAAACCTTTATGGGTTTGACTCATTTTTTTAAAAAAATTGAATAAATTATTTTTAAAAATCATCCATAGGTTTGACAACAAAATGTTTTTTCGGTGAATTTCATTATCCCATGTCTTTGATTTTGAAGTTGAGACTTCTTGTTAAGTATCAACTCTTTTAGCAATTGTCCTTGGCACTTGGTGATAATGTTTTTTAATAAATAAAACTGTTTATTTTATGTAGTTGTAATTCTGAATTTTTTATATGGTGGCAATAATTTTAATTTAAAATTATCAGATTTTACACATTTGTGTTGAGTTTTGTTTTTATTTATCTTTTAAAGAATAATAATTTTTACAAAATTTATTTTTTTAAAAAATAAAGACAAGAATGCAGATGCAGTTCTAAGCGCTAATAATGGAAGAGGAGTTCCTCCATTTCTTTTCTCTCATTTTTCCTCCTTTTTTCAATCCCTACCATTCATCAAATTTATAATTAAAATAAATTTATTTAATAAAATGAAATGAAAATAAATGGTGAAGATCAGGATAGGGAGGGAAAAAAAAAAAAAGAAAGGGAGGAACCTCTTTTCACTAATAATATGGGCTGACTTTTCAAAGAAAGATTCTGGCTTCTGTGAAAAATAGGACTTGCAGGCCAGAGCCATTGTGCCCATGACGACTTATCCTCTCATTATTTTTATTTTTTCTTTTTACCAGGGAAAAAGAAAAAGAAAGATAACCAGACCAATTTTCCAACCCCAGCACTCTTCAGGTGATATAAAGGAAAACAGAAATAATGACCAAAGAACAGAAATAGTTGCCAAAAATATTGAAAACAAAGACGAGAACAAAGAAAAATAACGAAACACGTGATATCAATGCCAATACACTGTCGTGGTTATAAAGTTATAATCTGGTTCATCTATCACCTCATTTTGTCTAGAAAATAATGCATTTATTTTTTAAAAAATATAACTATAATGCACCAAAAATACCAAATTAAACGTGTTTGTTTGCGTGAGAGAGAGAGAGAGAGAGAGAGGGAGGGTATACAAGTGCTTCAATGTTCCATTTGTCCGGGATGCAGCAGTAGTATCGTAATCATGTTACATATCCATGAAGTTTGAACCATTTATTATTTTGCTCCGGAAAAATCACTAATTCATAAAACCAGGCATCCTGCTTTTTAGTGTCATGGGTATTTCTAGTTAACTCTTAGCATGGAATATATGGAGTCACCAAATCTTAATTTTTTAATTAAAAGACAATTCTTGCGTATTCAACACGATAAAAACAGTGACGGATCTAGGAATTTTCTGGGGGGATTTTTTTTTTTTTTACCCCCTCCGAAAGGAAATGTAGGTGTGTGCACTGTAACGATGTAGCGCGAGAGGCCGGCGTGTCTCTTTCAGCTGTTGTTCTCCTTCTCGCTCCCTTCGCCTTCATCCTCGTCACCGTTCTCATGCCCTCTCTCACTCTGCTAGCAGCACAGGCACAACCCCGCCCTCATCGCCACCCCGTCACGATCAAGACAGCGTCGGGTGAGCCGCTAGCACTCGCAAAGGTCAGAATTTAAGGGACTCACGCAAGGCTTTTGTATTTGAAATATCGATTAACCAAGTGAATGAGCTGCTAATCAACATATAGAATGACTCCTCAAACTTTAATCTGTACATTGATAATCTTGTTAAAATTTTTAAAATAAATCTCCCGTCTTGTCGTGTTATTTTAACGAAATAAACACACTGACATATAGAGAATTAATTTCAATCATTCATTCACAAAAAAAAAAAAACTAGGATAGATATAAAGTATGATATCACAATTTAAACAATGAACCAACCTCCAGTCTACTCTGTAGTGTGTATTTGCTTAACATTAGAAACTAGTCTCCATCCTAACTTATAAACCAGATAAAAAGTCAAATGTATCTATAAATTTTATTAAACATATTTTATAAGTTTATTTCTTAAAATAAAAATAAAAATCAAAACTTTTCCAAATGTTCTTCGTTAAATATCTTATTTATAAAAAATATTAAAAAAGTAGCATACAATATGATTTTTTTATATTGGAATATAGATTATTAATAAAATATTTTTTAATTAAAAGTATTGAAAAAAATTAATTTTTTAATTCTTAAATCTTCATGAATTGTTGTAACTTAATTCTTCAACTTTTAATTTTGCTATGACTCAATCTCTTAATTTTTATTAGCTCTTATTTTTATGTTAGTTTAGATCTCACGTTAAAGAATAAGAGGATGATATTTTAAAATAAAATATGAATATTTTTTTATCTTCCTGTTTGATAAGGATAGTTTTTAAAAAAATAAAAAAATAAAAAATAAATTATAAATAAATTAAAAGTTAAAAAATTAAATTATAATTAAAAAATTAAATTATTATAAATTATAATTGAGGGAATGAATTATAAATGACTTAAAAATTAATTAATTAAAAAATTAATTTTTTAAAAAAGTGTTTTATATTTTGATGCAAGCAAATCTGGGTTTACTGCGCTTGTTAAGCCTATTCTTTCGGTGTGGGGATTCGTGCACCCGACGGCCTTGTCCTCCTCAGATTGCTCGCATCGTCTAGTGGCTCCTCTATGATTATGCTCGTCTTCTTCATCACCTCCGGTGGCTGTCTAGGACACCTAATCGCTAGAGGAAGATCCAAGCAACAAACAAATTTATCCCTGGAAACAGAGGCTTGTTTCAAAGTTTGCGACGGCTCAGCCAGGGATCGACACACTGGGCAGATGGAGTGAGAACGAAACCACGTATCAATACAGTGAGAGTGAAAGCTGTGGCTGCAATTTGGGAGGGTGCGAACTTCATCTCCTTCTTGCAACTCCGACAAGCAGATGGCACAATCATTCAGTGGAAGGTGAATGGTGGACGAGTAGGTGAATGTGGGAAGGAACTTGAAAAGAGAAGGATCTAGACGACCCTTGCTCTGGGCGGTGGCTGAGATGGTCGAGGAAATATGAAGGGGGAGACGCCGTTGGCCTCCGCCATGACGATGACGGCTCCGACACAAGGAGGAGTAAGCTTGGTGAAGGCAGATGAGGACGATTAGCATCAAGAAGAGAAAGCGACCGCCGGAGGCAAGCGTTTTCATGCCATAGTCGACATCCTCTGCGTGATCGGTGTGGGCTTCCATTTGTCAGGCAACACACAGCCAGTGAAACACTTGGATAGGACTGTGTTATCTTGGGAGAAGATATGGATTATTATAGGAATTGGGAAGGCTTGTTTTATCGAAGGAAACAAATCAACTCAGTTATGGCTCGCTTATAGGTTATTGATGTCTGGATGTCCGGACTTATGCGCAACACCAGTTAAGGCTTCAATATATAATTATATATACGAGAGAATCTAGCATTAATTAACGAAAACATCTGACAAAAATTCTTTGCATGGTCTCCGTTGTGGGTGCGTGCGTGGTCTTATTTTCCTGCCCTATCAGGACTTATTTTCCTCCACACCCTCCACGTTTCAAAGTCCCCAGTTATTTCTTCAATCTCTAATTTCACCAACATTTAATGCTCTCCCCTGTCCTGGATCGATGCAGGAACAATTTAAGAGGTTTATTTTAGTTTTAAAAGTAAAATCTTAATTTATTACAGGGGATTTCCATCAATAACTCCACACGGATGAGGCTCGCTACATTCCACTCAATCTTTATAAACAACCGGTCTTCAATGCATTAATATGTCATAATATAAAATTTATATAGAAATAAAAACCGCCCATTTATAATTATAAATATGGCTCCTCTAAAAATTTATATTATAAATGGCAATGCCATGTTAGGCAACAAATTTAATGAATTTAAAGTTCAAAATGTTGGGCGAGGGGAGAGAAAGGATGTGTTAGTTAAAGGGTTCATATCAGAGAGAGATGATAGCTGAGTACACCGCAGAGTATGTACTTTTTTGTATGGACAAAACTGAGAAATGACCAAGGTCGACATATGAGGCTTGGCATCCTGAAGTTCCCGTCAATTCTGTGGCCGTCAAGAATCATTTCTATTGCCTTCTGACATAAGAGGCATCTAGTGGGATATTTACACATGAACGGACAAGAGGACTTGCTAATTAAGCAGAGATGGCGGATTCAGGGCTTTGATCACGGCTGGATTCAGTTCCAAAACGTTGAATCAGGAATGAGAAGATCGAGATTGCTATAGATTTCAAAACAGTCTTACCTGATTGAGATTGCTATAGATTTCAAAACAGTCTTACCTGTGATCAAGATTGCATTGATGTGGCAAGCGTAGTGATCGGCAACAAAAGTAACTTGGCAGTAGGACTGTTTCTTGAGTGGAGAAAGGCAAGCTAAGCTTGTACAGTAGCTGTACAAGTGTTGATCAAGCTGAACACAAGCCCTCCAGCTATCAGGGGTTTCAGAAAAAATTCTGAGAAAGCTATCCTGACTACGAGCAGTCTTGATCGACATGCCTGCACATTTGATAGTGTTCCTCTCTCATCTCAGTATCTCCACCTTCATAGAGATAGGCACGTTTGGTGGTGTTGAATCTCATTGTTCAGAGGATGAAGCCCTCGGTAATCGCAATTGATGATTAGATACGCACAATAGCATCCTCTGACTTTTGATTAGGGATCCTCCCCAATTTGCATAGCCACATATCAGAGACCACATCGCTGTTGAAACTACTCGTAATTTGTAGATTGTCTGTTTTTCTTGGCTAAAATCAACAATGAGCTTTAATTTTCTTCTTGGTTGGTTTTAGTCTCGATATTCTTTATGTCACCTGGAATTTTAGACGTGTACAATTAGATATACACGCGCATGCACACATTTTTTATTTTTTGTTTATTCAGTCACGATCAATGAGCTGTAAATATCTTGGCAGATTTCGTAAAAGAGTCCCTGACTTTAAGAATAAGAATAAGAATATATATATATATATATATATATATATATAATCTTTAAAATATTTAATTTAATTCAAAATTTAGTTATAGTTATATCGACGTTATAATATATGAGAATATGCATACGAGTAAATCAAGCAGTTTCATTTTTTTTTTATTATTCATGCATAATATAACGTTTACGCTAATTCAGGTGATCCTGGTGTTATAAATTCATTTTATTATATATATATATATATATATATATATAACTGGTTATTGGCTCACCTAGATTCCATGTTTTGGAGATGCTTGGCCACAATTTTGCATCCCATTAACTTAAATCAATACACATGTATCTTTTATATATTACTTATTATATAATTAATTATCTGTCTTTGATATAAGTTAAATTTTGAATTTTTTTTATAGCGTGGGGTTAAAGTATATTTTTATCAATTTTATCCATAATTTATTTGTTGTCATTTAAATTTTTAGATAATAATTTTTTATGACTATTAATTATAAAAAAATAAAATTTAAAAGTTACATACTTTTAACAATTTTATGAGTATAACTAAGCTTTCTTAATAAATATGAAATTGATTTAATTTATTTTATATTAAAATCCAGAGAAAATATGTGATATTCAAATAAGCATTTTTATAAATTATAGGAAAATTAATTTTTTTGGCCCTTAAAGTTCTAACTAACTTAAAATTTGGTTTCTTAATTATAACTCAATACAATTCAACCTTTAAACTTTTAACTTGTATATAACTTAGTTCCTAATTTTTTTATCATTTATGATTTTATCTTTATCATTCATATATAATTCATCACGAGTCAACATTGATTCATCCTCATTGGCAAAAAAAAATATAAATTACACTGTTAAAAAATTGCTTATATGGTTTCCCACAATAAGTATGATCGGGTTCATCAACGTTGGGCGAGAGCTTACCATCGTGGTCAAGAAACCCGACTATTAGCTTTCCTCAGGAGACAACGATGATTTGCTCAAACATATCTAATGCATATGGGTGACGAAGCTGCTAGATCAAACACACGTATTTAGATTCATAAGATGACTTGAGAGATAAAAACGGAGAGAGAGATCAGGAGCTCACAATCCCTGTGTTGTGTGCCTGGGTTTGAAGCCAAGTTGAATGAGTTGGAAACGGCATAGCAGTGAAAGCCAACTTATTCCCTGAATTTCTAGTGTGTCTGTCCTTCGTTTACGTGCTCGTCAAGGGGGAAAAAAACATCTAGCTATACTAGACCATTAAATAATGAGCTCTTTCTCGTGGTATTAACCAAGTTTGGTTGTCAGCGTTATCAAAATTGAATCGTTTAGATGTGCGAGATTCAGTAGTGCAATGATAATGCTTCCACGTGCACTAACAATCCATTAGAAGCAGAGTAACTGAGGACGAGAATGCAATATAGCCAAGCACTGCTTGCAGAAAAAGAGAACTAAAGGCCTCTTAAGCTTCCATGCTTGGCCCCTCGCCTTCTTAGCCTCTTCAGCTTCTGAACTCACCTGTTAGCTTTTCATGCCCTGCTCATTCTTTCATGTCCGATGCCGAACCATATAAGCTTGAAAGTGTTCTTTTACATTTTTTGCGAGGTAGGATGACTAAGTGCTGATAACTTATAATAAATGTTGAGTAATAAAGATAAAATTATAAATAATAAAAAATTTAGGAAATAAATTATATATGAAGTTAAAAATTTAAAGATTAAATTATATTGAATTATAATGGCGGGATCAAATTTTAAAAGTAAAAAATTAATTTTTTTCAAAAATATAAAATAGATAAGTCTCAACTCCCAAGCCCAAACTTCAAACCCTTGCTTTGTCTTTTCTGTGCCACGTGCGTCCATGTGCAACTGTCAACACTACATAGCACCAAACTGTCAACACGGGGTCTACCAGAATCATCCTTGCGGAAACGATGACGTTTGGGTTCATCCGTTGGACAAAACGATGTCAGCTTCCAGCAGTTGCACGACGTTGCAAACCCTTTTTCTTCCTCTTTTCTGCCGTGCAACGCCAAAATAAATAATCTTCGATCAATCGCATCACGCCTAATACGCACCGGAATTGAAGCTTTCAAGTTCTCATGTCTACCACCACCGTTCTCTTCGTCTCCACTTTTCTCTTTCTATCGCCTTTGCTTTCTTCATCGACCGCCACCGGTGATGGGGTTCCCAGTGCCTACGAAGTCCTCGGCGACTATCACTTTCCCGAGGGTATTCTCCCAAAAGGAGTTGTTGGTTACGAATTAGACAGATCTACCGGTAAATTCCGCGCCTATTTGAACGGTTCCTGCAGTTTCTCTCTCGAGGGATCGTACCAGCTTAGTTATAAATCAACCATCAGTGGTTATATTTCCAAAGACAGGCTCGCGAACCTCTCTGGAGTTAGCGTGAAGGTTCTGTTGTTCTGGCTCAATATCGTGGAGGTATCTCGGAGTGGTGACGAGCTTGGCTTCTCGGTCGGCATCACCTCCGCCTCTTTTCCGTTAGATAACTTCTTCGTATGCCCACAGTGTGGCTGTGGATTGGATTGCGATAATCTGCAAGCAAGGAAGCTGAAGTTGAGCCCTTCTGTTTCCTCTATGTAGAACTACTTCACTGTGTATGCATTTAAATTTCCTTTTTATTTTTACCCTTCTTTATCCTTTCTTACTGCCAGTCCACTTTTATTGGCGCGACTTGAATGGTAATTATCATATGAACTGCGTTTCTTGTACATTATCTCGCTTCATCGTTTGAAAAATAGGTTATTAATTTAATCGAGATGCAAATTATGTTGCTATTACGTTGATTTGAGTCTTCTGCGCATATGTTTGTTTGATTCCGCCAAGAGAGGAACGCGGTTCAGGCTGTGGCCTATCTTTCTTCCCGTCTGCAGCGAGGGCTTTCACATGTTTGCTACAATGCTCTTTATATGTTGGGGATAACGGAGTAGAATCTTTCAATCTGGTGAGGGATTTGTGCATTTGGGAGGCTTATTTAAAAGGCTTTTACAAAACCTGGGTAGCTTTTTCTCTCTTTTATAATAGTGCTAGAGGGAGTGAGGATTGATTATATCAAGCTACCTAAAACAGCATATTTCTTTTGCTATGAGATTTTTAAGGATAGCCGACTTCATTGTACATTTTGATGGAGTTCTTTGTAACTTTATTTCGTAGTGCGTGATAGAGAAGGGCCTTTGTGCTTTTATACATCGTATAATGATTCCCTGTCCTTGTTTCTTTCTTTCTTTTTTTGGTAGAACCCTGTCCTGGTTTCTCTTGTTTCTTTTCATTTGCGTCAATTATTCTTCAGGGTGCTTGAGTTAGCCAGGAAAGCATTGTGGAACACTAGTCGCATTTCCAGTTTCCACATCCTACTACTACCTTGTAGAAGAGGCTAAACATGCTGGGAATTCTGATTGCTTTATGAATATTCATTTTGTTTATATGGAATCCAATAGGAGTACGGTACCAATTGCACATGGGATATATACAGAATTTTTGGCCCTAGAGAATCGTCCCCCATGTTGTGCTAAGGAAATGAGGAGGATAGAATAGGATTTTCTATCTTGAGGCATATGTTATGCTGTTGGTGTCTTGTTATCCTGGTAGGATAAGACTCATCGTTGTTGATATTTATCCTGACGCCCCTATTCATTCAACACAAACAGACCTTAAGGAAAGATCTTTATGCACGACTGTACTGGCCATGTACTGATTATCCTGAGAGTCATTTGGTTTTTGGGCTATGATCAATTAGCAATCATGTCTTACCGTTGAGTTGGAATATTGAAGCCGTTTTGAATTATATTGAATTTGAAGCATTGTGGTTGGTCGTATTGGGATTAAAGATCAGGGAGGTATTTAGTTGTGGACTGATGGATTATCATATAACTCTAATCTGCGCGAGATGAATAAATTGGGCGTGTGTGACTAAAACCACCAATAAGCCGCAATACGCCCCACCCCCCTTGGAAAGAATGGCGTGAAAACAGGGAACGGGGCCATGTATTTGTGTCTGCAAATACTGCTAGCTTACGCCTCACAGGAGAGTTAAACTTGGTTTCTTTAGATGGACGTAAATTCTTCATAACCCAGTAACACGTGAGTATACCTGTATTTGCTTGTGCATCTATAGAGTAAAAAAAAAAAACATGGGATTGGAATTATCCCATGAGAACATGCAGCTTCATAGCAAATGTTAGTAGAAGAGAAGATATAGTATTATAGCCAATTTGAATGAAATTTTCTCAAGTGTGTTCATTGTTATAGGGTTATTACTCTCTCCTCAAAAGGCTTGCTTAGTGGGGTGTGTAGTGCACCGGTTTGTATGACCAAGATCCCTTGAAATCCTTCCAATGTGAGACATAACATCTCTCCCGATTAATTTGTGATGCCCATGTCATGGGTAACCCACTGGAAGGCTCACTAACTAGGTGAATTTAACTTTAGCTTAGATATCACTTTGTTTTTGAATCATTATTCTCTCCTCAAAATCTACTAGGGTGTGTAGTGCACTTATTTATATGGGTAGAGACCTTTCCAAAGTTCTTTGGACTTGGGACGTAACACTGCTTCTTTTCACAATTGTAAGAATATGTATTATTGAGAGAAGGGAGGGGTTTGTTGAAAGAAAGTTGAGTCTTTCTTGAGTATGTCAGCCTTGAGGAAGCCTTGGAATGAGGCAAGGTGTGACTTAAAAACTACACTTCGACTGTTTGAGGATGGCTATTTATTTAACTTTAATAAACAATTAGTAAAAGGAATACATGCCATGTAATCCATAGCCGAATCCTGATGATCTGGCAGTGCTTTAAATAAATTATACTTATAAAAAAAATTATACTTGTTGAAGATGAAATTTGTATGCAAATAATGCTCACGAACATGAATGATTGCTTTAAAAGGAATAAAACATGAATTTAAAAGGAATAAAACATGAAAATGGTTGTTGGTTCTCGTCCTCCCAGACCAATCTGATGGAACTAGCATTGATACTATTAAGACTTGGGCTTTAAAAGCACTTGGAGTGCATGCAAGCCAGGCAATTTAGTTGCATTTTTTAAAAAAACTTTGTCTCGTGTGTGTTGTGGGGTGGGGTGCAATGAAAATTGTGGGGACGATTTGCTGCCCTCTGGAAAGTTTGATGGTGTTGTCCCCCTTCCATTCTCTCCAATTTTTTTTTAAATAAAATTTTGCAGTAGTTTCTTACTTTGTCTTCCAAGTTTTTAACACGTGTCCGGGATTTTAGTTTTAGCAAAACGCGGTATTGGATGGTAGAACGCCGACTGCCCAACCCCACGCTATTAATTAATTTGGGAACAATATAATTTTTAATTTATATATTTTGCTCGTGTTTTGTTTTTTATTCTTATATTTTGTTAATATTTTAAATTTTTAAATTTTTATTTTTTATTATTTTAGATCCTTTTATCAATAAAGTGTAGGAATTTAAAACAATAAAAAAAAATATAAAAATCTAGAATATTAAAAAAAGTGTAAGAATAGCAAAACGTAAACAAGTTGCAAAGATTAGAAGTTATATTTTTCTATTAAATTACTCTTTATTTTTAAATATGAGTGAAATTTTTGTATGATTTTTTATTTTTAATAAACAAAAAAATCAAGAGACATTTATGACATTTTTTTCATTGTTCTTCATAAAATGATAATATTATTAAATTAAGAAAAAATGAATGATTAATTACAATAATATTGTAGTCCAGACCTTTCAATATCAGGCATTTATTAAGATTGTCTTTTTTTTTTTTCACTATGCTAGTTGTTAAACTTTTTTTATATTTAGAGAATGACCAGAATGTGCATGAAGATTCCTTGCACATGTGTAAAAGCAAGATCCAAGTGCCGTGCTAGAGATATGTATCTCCGTGGCAGGCCTTTCAAATGTCTTGTCTTGGTTCCTTTCTTCACGATTCAGGCTTGAGAATCATCTTTTTATTGGAATTCCATTTCAGATCAAGCCAACAGGATGGTCGTAGGGTAGGCTAAATCGCGCGCGCGATGTTAAATTTTAATTCACAGCCGCCTAGGTTGAAATTCCCACTTCTTCCTACTTCCTTATTGCTTTTCCCTTCCTCGTGAATTGTCCTTCCCTGCCTGTCACCATCCTTACATGCTTAGCCTTTTTTCCCTCGTTATCCATTTGTTTAAATCCACGCTGAATTTTACTTTGATATTATAACATCCTAATTTTAAATTAAAAAATCAATCGAGATAAATATGTGTGTGATTGAAGATTTATTTGTGAAATTATATTTTATTGAGATTTATAAGTTATTTAGATATTTAATTATGGTGTAATTGAGTTTAAGAACTTGTATGAGGGTTGTTTGGGAATCTAAAATAGATTTTAGGCTGAGCTGGGCCCAACAGAATTTGGGTTTGACTGAGACTTACCAACCCTATTGATGGTCGCACATAGACATGAACTGAACAAGGGTTCTTCACTTGCAGATGCCAATAGAGAAGGTGAGAGTGCCTTAAGTGGCAACAACCGCACGCTGACATACAACGTGAAGGCTCGACCACATACAAGCAAATGTGTCTATAACAATTCTTTGTCTAGAAATCAAATTAGTTTGAGCGAGAGAAACAACACTGCTCTGCTAAGGCACAAAGATCCAGTGGTTTCAAGTCTAGAAATTACTTGATGTAAGTTTCTAGCTCCCTCTTCTGCTATTCCACTTAGCTTTTTGTTTGATTTTGGAAAGTTTCTCATTTGGGGTTTCCTAAGGGAGTGGGAAATCTGAATTTTTCAAGAAGGAAAATGGTCGTTGAGGTTAATGAGAGTGTAACACATGCTCTAGAATATTAGTTGGGGATTGAAATTCGAATTTGATGGTTATAGGCAAAATCCTAGAATGTCATGGTTAAGATTTTGTTAGATTCAAATCTTAAAGGTGACTTTGGAGTGATTAAAAGTTTATTTGAGTTTACAAATGTTTTGGAACAATGAGAGGATGGGATCTAACTCTAGATTTTTGAGATTTAATTAATGAGAAATTTAAGATTTCCAAAGGATTAATTATGGTAATTAAAGGTTAAGTGAATGTATTGAAAGTGGATTCACGATATGAATGATTGAGTTGAAAATTCAAATGTAAGGAAAGGTATTGGATTGATGAAATTAACCTAATTTTAGGACTAGGGTGTGATCAATTTTTTGTCACAAATATTAATTATATCTGGTAATACAGACACACATTGTATATTGAGGTGTTAGTATTATTGGAGGTGAGGGCACACTTGCAAGCTAAAGTTTGCTATCAAGTCATGGTAACATAACATTATGTCATGGTATGTGTGGTGCAGCTGATTATGTAATTTTTGTACAATAATTTGTTGTTGAAAAATATATATACGTATATTGTTCATCAAGAACCGAATTATTGTTCAGAAGTATAATTAAATTGTTAGGATTTGCATTGTTTGAAAGTATAGTATGCATATGCTTGGAAAAATATATAATTATTGCTTGGAAAAAATGTATTATTAGTGGGATGAAAAATTGTATATAATTACATTCAATATGAAATTATGATTATAGTAAAAACATGGTTAATTATTAGCAATTGTATCTTGTTTGGAAATTCTATATGCATGATGCGTAAGGGTTTTGTTAAGAGGGCAGTTATTAATGAGATTTGAACTAGAATCATGTGATATGCCTCCTCATTTAGATAGGAGGGCAGTTATTAATGAGATTTGAACTAGA